TCTTCTGACATCGCTGTTTTTTGATTTTTCAAATTTAGACGTTTTGTTGGCTTCTGCTATGGTAGGTAGGGATTTAACTCAGAACCTTTCACCCCCTCCTAATGTCATAATATCACTATTTTTAGTTCCTTTCTTGGTTACCTCATTTATTTTCATGATGTATTTCACCTTTATTTCTTTTTTTGTCAACGGTATACAGTATCTTTGACTCTCCATTTCTAAGATGACGATGGATATTCTCATCACTGCCCTTTCTACCAGCTCTCCCCACCTTGTCTTCTACCTTCCAATTTTTTATCTGTACTTCAACTTTTTTTCCTAGCAAGGATGATAATATTCAAATGTTCTATAAAATAGTCTTGCATACTTTGTGTATAGATCAGTTTAAATAGTATTAATGTTGTTACTACAAAGCTATTCTTCCCTGCAGAGTGAAGTCATGTATTATGATTTTGTTACCTTTTTTATGCTAAAGCTTTTTGTTTTAATGAGATTTCTAGTTTTTTCACTTTTAATTGTATCCTCACTTTTTTTCATATTCCTAATCCAGTCAGGTGTTCTGTCATATATAAAATAGCCTTGTTCCTCACTAGTCCCCTCCCTGCCATGGCTCTGCACTCCAGGGCCTTTGCACATTCTGTTCACTCTTTCTTAGCCTTTCTTTCTCCCTTTTATCTAGTTTGAGGTATTTTTGTGATAATTCGTTTTTGCCTATCAAGTAAGTAGTTTGATATTCAGATGTTGCTCAGAGGAGATGTCCACATAAGAGAGTTAATTTGGAAGTCATCAGTATATAGGTGGTATATACAGACAGACAGAGGGTGGCTTCTGAGGTAAGAGAAAAACTAAGACGGTGTGACATCAGAGGCATGTTTCAAAAAAGAAGGCATTGTTCCAACTCTGCTGAGAGGATTGAAAATATCCATTGCATTGGACCACATGGAGGTCATTGATGACCTCATCAGACAGTGTTTTGGTTGAGTAATGGGAGTGGGTAAAGGAGTGAATGAGAGGAGCAGAAATGAGGAGGATTCTGCCGTGAGGTGGAAGAGAGAAATCAGATATTAGCTGGAGGAAGATGTGGATTCCAGATTTTTTTTTAAAGAAAACTGAGCAAGCTTAAATGCCAGTCAGAAGGGTCCAGTGGAAAGGGAATGCTATTTCAACAAGTCACAGGTATATTGGGGACACTGAGGATACTGACTAGAGTTAAATGGGTGTGTTGGAGAGCAAAAAAAACCCCAAAGGTGGATAAGATCAGATATGTTGATTAGAGATTTTGTGTGACCTTGAAAGCCAAGGGAAGAAGTTTGACATGGAGGCAGCAGATGAAGAAATATTTAAGATTCTGGAACAGAAAAATGAGTGAGTTATTTAAGGGATATTGATCCAGAATGTCTCAAAGGTGGGAGAGGCTGGAATCAGGAAGACCTGTGAGAACATTTCAGAAATTTAGACGGAACATTCTGAAGACCTGGACAAGATTCAAACCCAAAGGAAAGGAAAAATATGGAAACATTTCCAAAAACAGTGAATAGGTTTTAGTGACCGACTGGTTGGTTACAAAAAGAAAGAGGAAAGAAGTTTTAAATATGTTTTTAAGGTTTCTTGAATTGGGGGAGTCTGAAAAATGATTAGTGCCACTGTCAGACATGAATAAAAAGAATGAAGGAAAGAAGGAACAGATGCTCAATAAAGTTAGCTGCCACTGAAAAGTTGAGAAGGATGAAGATTAAGGGGGGAAATTAGATTTGAAAATAAATTATTATAACTTTTTGAGGAAAAATTTATGAGGAGTGGTAGTAAAAAATATCCTAGTAGTTTAGATTCTTAGAACAAGGGAGTTCTCTTGTGTTAGGAGGCAAGGCAGCAGTGGTGTGGTGTGTGAAGACGGTGGACTTTCATTTATATCTCCCACCTGTCTCTCCCACAGAGCAGGCGCTCTGAATTCTTGTTGAATAAATGAATAATAATTTATTTCAGAATGTCACCATTTTCCTCATCAATGCACGGTAGACAGAAGACCTACGGAAGAACAACCCCAGTAGCATATTCTTTGGGTAAGATGAGGAAATTAAAAAGGAACTGAAAATATTTTATTTTCAGCTCATGAGAATCACTACTTAAAACAGTCACCTGATCTATGATTTAAATGATTGTGCTATTGTTACTTTAAATGTACTTTTTGTTCTTGGAAAAGATTTATTTTTCCCACCTCTTTTTCTCTCTGCATATTGTTATGATTGGATTTTTCCCTCCTGTTTTTTAAATTTATCACATACATGTAACTAAAAAAGAAACAGGAAAATTACTCACAGTCCAACCAGCTTAATACTCACCTGCTCTCAATATTCCGTGCTCCTTTCCAGTGCATGTCTCTCTGAATATACAGTTTGAAGCACCTGTGATCGGCCACAATATAATTTTTCATTTGACATTTTCAAATGTAACATATCAGACATGTTTTTTTAAAAATTTATCATGTTCGGTGGAGCTTGCTTTTAACTTCTTGCAGTCAGACAACCAGCCTCAGTAGGAATAAGTGATGCTATGGTGTGAAGATGGGAAGGAGACAAAGTAAGGGTGCCAGCTGAGCCTGAACAGTCCCTGTTCCATTGGCCAGACTTCCCGCCACCCCTGCTGTCACCTTTGCCATGGTGTATTGTGTTAGGTAGCATGCCCGGTTTCAGGGTTCCAGGATGTATCTATCGTTCAGCAGTGCGGCTTCTTATCTCACAGTCTTTGAAGGAGACTCTGAGTGGTACCCTTCTGATTGGTTACATCGTAAGCTGTAGGGCTGCTGCCGCTTGACTTTTGCCCGCTGGTGCCCCTGACGAGGTGGGTCTGCAGTGGACTTAGGCACAGGTGGGGAGTGAGCAGCCAAGCGCCACCTTAGTTTGGTCTAATGATGAATTTCAGCAACTCTCTAAACTTAACTTCTGCTGCTTACAGTTTCTGAGATGATGTGTACAGAGATGGGAAGAACCTTTTAGAAAATAGAGAACAATTATACTGGTGACTGTCTTCAAATAATGATGAAATGGTAAGAACAGAAAAAAGAACAGATGTAGGAAAAAATACAACTGGATTGTGTATTTCATAATCCACAACTGGATATATTTCATAAATGTGCTTTGGTTTGATGTAAAGATAACACATAAATAACACCTAAGTGGAGAACAAACTGAGATTTGGCAGCACAAGGAAGGAGTTAAACTGTAGCTGGAAATGATGATGGAGTTGATCTGCTGTTCTGTTGTAGTCCTTCCCATCTTCAAAACCAGCAAATAACTGAAAAGGAGGCTTAATTTTGGTGGCAGTATTAGGAATGGCACACGGCTCCGTGTAATCAGTCCTGGACCCCCAGTTTTGGCTGTTCTGACTATAGTTATGGTGAAACCGTACTTGTCTTCCAGTTTTCATTATGGTCCTTGCCAAGGTTACTTCACTCTGCAGAACTGATGTTACTGAAACAGTTTATTGCTCAGTGATTTTAGTCTTTATTTTACAAGAATAATTAAATAAATCTTTTCTTCATTGAGTATTTAGTATGATGCAAGTAAGGCATCTGGATACCTAAACGCGTTAAATGTCTATTCTATAGTCCTTTTAGCTTTCCAGTAACTTAATTTGAAAAAGTCAATTTAAAAACCATAAGTTTTTCTGCATATAAATATGACAGTTTAGCCTTTCTTATATCAAAGTTTTAAAAGCACTCAGCTGGGGCCGGCCCCATGGCGCAGCGGGTAAGTGCACGCACTCCACTGCGGCGGCCCGGGGTTCGGATCCCAGGCGCACATCGCCACACCGCTTGTCAGGCCATGCTGAAGCGGCATCCCACATACAGCAACTAGAAGGATGTGCAACTATGACATACAACTATCTACTGGGGCTTTGGGGAGAAAAAGGGAAAAAAAAAGGAAGTAGATTGGCAATAGATGTTAGCTCAGGGCCGGTCTTCCTCAGCAAAAAGAGGAGGATTAGCACGGATGTTAGCTCAGGGATGATCTTCCTCACAAAAAAAATTAAAAAATAAAGAATAATTATAGTATAGATTAAAATTAAAAATAATTCCTTACCTCACATTTCCCATTATAAGTATTCTAAATTCTGTATCATTTCCATATTATATAAATCCCTTTTACATTTAAACTGTACCGTAGATATACCTAATATGCCCTTATACCAATTGTTCTTGTTTCTCTCTGAATACAGATGAGCACACCATTTCCACTTATGTTAAAAGCAATTGGTCATTGGATCAGATCAGTCTCTCCTTAGTATTATTTGTGTCTTCTGATTTCTTAATCAAATTTGTGCTAGGTCAAAATATGTTAATGATGAATTTTTTGAGTGTTTATTGAGAAATTCACAGTGAACTTGTGTTTTGTCAAATGGCTGTTGTTTAGTTGCCAAGGTTATCATTTCAGATGTATTAAGTTCCAAGTTACAGAAAACCCAATTCAAGGTGACTTATATGAAGGGTATTTATTGGCTTGTGTATTTGGAAGGCCAGCAATAGACCAAGCCTCAGGGTTGATTGATTTAGCAGCTCCACAGTGCTACTAAGAATTTGGTTTCCTTCTTTCTACCCTCTGCGTTCTCACCTTCCTCTTGTGATGACAGGGTGGTTGCAAGCCATTCCCAGATTTATGTGATCCTTCATTCATGTCTAGTAATGTTTCAGAAGCTCACCCAGAAAACCTTTCCTTGTGTTTCATTGACCTTAATTGAGGGATGTGCCCATGCCTTGAACAAGCAACTGTGGCTTTATGGGGTTGTGCTGAGTAGTTCAGGCTTGGAGTCAGCTTTCCCCAAAGTATAGGGCTGTGGGAGGAGGTACAGAAACCCCAGTCAGAACTGGGTAGTTGTCTAGAGGAGGAGGAAATGGATAAGGGGCGACAGCCACCCTATTTAGTATGCCATGTGAGTCAAAGTCATTTGGGTGTCCTTTATAAAAGTTCTTGCTTTGTTTCATTGGTTTCTACTTCTGTCTTTAGGGGCTGTGACAACAACCAAACGGACAGGCATTCCAGCTCCTCGAGAACTTTCGGTAACTGTCTCAAGAGACAGAACTGTGCCACGTGGTCCCTCCAACCCGAGGAAATCGGTGTCCAGTCCAACTTCTTCCAGCACACCCACCCCTACCAAGAACCTGAGGACCACTTCCACAAGACCCAAGCAAGAGAATGAAAGTGGAGAAAAGGCTGTGCTCGAGTCCCAAGTTCGGGAACTTTTGGCAGAAGCCAAAGCAAAAGATAGTGAAATTAACAGGCTTCGAAGTGAACTAAAGAAATGCAAGGAGAAAAGGACTCTGAACACTGAGGGAACTGATGCTTTGGATCCAAATGTAGATGGAACATCAGTCTCACCAGGTGACTTGGAACCTTTGATAAGAGCTCTTGAGGAGAAGAACAAGAATTTTCAGAAAGAGCTTGCTGATCTAGAGGAAGAAAACCAGGCCTTGAAGGAGAAACTGACTTATTTTGAGCATTCACCAAATTCAGAAGGGGGAACAAGTCAGACTGGTGACAGCAGCTGCCCAACATCCATAACTCAAGAATCAAGCTTCGGAAGCCCAACTAGAAATCAGTTGTCAGGTGAAATCGATGAGTATAAAAAACACATACACGAAAATGCATTACGGACGTCGGGTTCTTCAAGTAGTGATGTTACCAAAGCTTCTTTGTCACCAGATGCCTCTGATTTTGAGCACATCACAGCAGATACCCCCTCTAGGCCCCTGTCTTCCACTAGCAACCCCTTTAAGAGCTCAAAGTGTTCCACCACTGGGAGTTCCCCTAACAACGTGAGTGAATTGTCCCTGGCTTCTCTTACAGAAAAGATACACAAGATGGAAGAAAATCACCATAGCACAGCAGAAGAACTGCAGGCTACTTTACAAGAATTATCAGATCAGCAACAAATGGTGCAGGAATTGACAGCTGAAAATGAGAAACTGGTGGACGAGAAGACTATTTTGGAAACTTCCTTTCATCAGCATCGAGAGAGGGCAGAGCAGCTAAGTCAGGAAAATGAGAAGCTGATAAATCTCTTACAAGAACGAGTCAAGAATGAAGAGCCCAGTGCTCAAGAAGGAAAAATCCTTGAACTGGAGCAGAAGTGTGCAGAAATTCTTGAACAGGGCCGCTTTGAAAGAGAGAAGCTGCTCAGCATTCAGCAGCAGCTGACCTGTAGCTTACGGAAGGTTGAGGAAGAAAACCAAGGAGCTTTAGAAATGATTAAACACCTAAAGGAAGAAAATGAAAAACTGAATGGGCTTCTAGAATTGGAACGGCATAATAATAGTGTGATGGCCAAAACTCTGGAAGAATATAAAGTTACCTTGGAAGGGCTGAAGATTGAAAATGGGTCTTTGAAGGCTCATTTGGAGAATGAGAAGCAAAAAGCTGTAGAGACCAGTCCTGTGGGGCAAACAGCAGAGGGCTGTGAAGTTCAAGAAACGTTGAAAGTAGCTCGAGCTGAGAAAGATCAGCTGGAACGGTCTTGCACCGAGCTCAAACAAGAATTACTAAAGGCACATGGTGAAATCAAACATGTTTCAAGCCTACTAGCCAAGGTAAGGAGATGTCTGTTTACCAGTATTTGCTCATCCTTGTGAACATTTCCCTCCTTGACCATTAAATTCACAGAGCACAGAGAATCATTTGGTCCATTTCTTTCATGAATCCAGCATTCTAGCTTGAAGATCTGTTAGATTCCAGACAGATTGGGGATACAAAGATGAAATACCACAGTTTCTAACTACAGGCAGTTCAAAGTGTAGTGTGGATATGGTGAATCAAATCACTGAGTATGCTGCAGGGATAAAGAATATCGCAGAGGACAGCCTAGAGTCCAGTGCCAAGGAGGAACCCGTGGAATAATATGGGATAAAGGACAGTGGTGCAGGAGGACATCTTGAAAGTGATGGCAGTAAGCTGAGTCCTAAAGAATGAGTGAGTTGTCCAGGTCTGTCACTTAGCGTGCTTTGGGCTGCTAGTAACAGAAAATTAAAATCACTGCAAATTTCCCCACCAAGTAATACAATATAACCACTGTTTTGGTGTTTTCCTCCAGATATACATGTGTATATGTGTGTGTGTATCCCAGAAGTTAAACAAAGTTTTTAGAATCATCCTATACATATTAACTTTTTAAAAAATTTAATATCTTCTGAGCATAGTCTCATGATTAACTGTTCTTTGAAACATGATTTTAAAGGCCAGATCATATTCTATTATATAAATATTTCATATGTGCTTTACTAGTCACCTGTAGTTGAACATTGTTGTTCTTTTCCAGTCTTTCTATATTGTAAATACATTTTTTGTATCTCTCTGATTATTTCCTTAGGAAGAATTCCTAGACGTTGATGTACAGTGTCAGAGTATGACCATTATAAAGACTTTCAGTACGTTAACCAGATTGCCTTCCAGAAATCTTACACCAGTTTGTTCCCCCAGAGGATCAGGCTTGCTTTCCTGAGCCCTTGCTAGCACTTGGTGTCAAGTTGTTGGGTCATACAAATCTGGTCTTCATTTCTTCTTTTCTCCTCCTCTTTTTCACTTGCAAAGATCTTCGCCAACCCCAGATCAAATAAATGATCACTTCTTTCATCTTTAAAACAATCCTTTAATCAGTCTGGAACTTGGTTATATGGTGAGGATTGCTGGTAATTGTATAATATTCTGCCCACTCACAGAGCAGTGCTGGAAAGATGTAGACAGGTGGCTTCCTATTTTCCATTTCCTCTAAGCTCTAGGTCTGTGATTTAGGGGTTCCTTGGTAAGAGAGGTTGAAGACATCTTCCCACCTTATTTCAGGGGTTTTCACTGTTTTAAGAAACTAATTATGCTGTGAGCTCCGAGGACGATTTTTCTCTACTGTTTCGTCTGCCTTAAAATGAATCCATTGCAACCTGATTCTGGCATTGGGCTGTCTGATGAGCTGAGTGGTGGGTAGTATTCTGAGTTTTTATCATTGTGTTCTAAATTCACAGCATTTTATTGGAGGTAATGTAAACAATTCCATTAGAAGGTACTAGCCAGGCACCCATTTGAACTGTAGGTTGGCAATTGTAGCTTTACATTAAGTTTTAATGTATGTGAAATAAATCCCCCCCCATTACTCTGTTGTGAAATGTTTAATCTCCCAGGTGACCTTCTTGAAGTCCTGCCTCAGTCCCTCATCTTTCTCTTTGGTATTTCGACTGGCATTACATTAAATATATATGTCAGTGAGAAATAATTTGGCATCTTAAAACAATAGCTTATTTTTTTCTGATCAAAAAATTGTGTATTCATTACAGAAGGTTTAGAAAATACAGATAGGTATAAAGAAGAAAATAGAGGCCGGCCCCGTGGCTTCGCGGTTAAGTGCACGCCCTCCGCTACTGGTGGCCCGGGTTCGGAGCCCGGGCGCGCACCAACGCACCGCTTCTCCGGCCATGCTGAGGCCGCATCCCACAGACAGCAACTAGAAGGATGTGCAGCTATGACATACAACTATCTACTGGGGCTTTGGGGGGGGCAGAGGAGGAGGATTGGCAACAGATGTTAGCTCAGAGCCAGTCTTCCTCAGAAAAAAGAGGAGGATTAGCATGGATGTTAGCTCAGGGCTGATTTTTCTCACAAAAAAAAAAACACGAAGAAAATAAATATTACCTTTAATCTCACCACGTGGAGAAAAACACTGCTAACATTTTCCTATGTCTTTTCAGACATTTTTCCGGTTTGTGCACGTTTGGGCATGCATACAAACTTGTGCTGACATAATTGCAATTTTTAATCTTTTTATTCAGAAGAATAGAGTATGTCACTCCACATTCCATGACTAGGAAGACCCAATTGGATTAGCTTATCAGTTCTACTGTTAATCTATTTCTGATTAATTTGTTTCTACTTTTGTCTTTGTTAATTATTTCATCCTGCTTTTTGTACATTTCCTTGGTTTCTTCCTAGTTTCTTGAGTAAAAGTTTTTGATTAAGTTTGTCCTTTCTTGATTGACAATGAAAGCATTTAAAGGTATGCATTTGCCCTTTATTATAGCTTTAGCTAAATGAAGACAATAAAATCTAGAATTTTCTGGGATAAACTAAGTCTAATTTAGAGAAAAAGAAAAAGCATTTGCATTCTCTATAGAGTCCAAGGTGCAACATATATGTTTTAAATCAAGCTGTTAATTATATTATTCATATATTCCATACTTTATGTATTGTTTGCTGATTAGAATTATGAAATACTTGCCAATAGGTTGAAAAAGGTCCTAGCTAGTAGTCTGAGATAAGAGTCTGAGGTAAAAGGTATGAGGCCTGATGTCACGTGGAGTTTCTTTCGTACATATCGAGATCCTAGGTCTGTGATTTTGTGCTGTCTTCTGTGTCTGTAATTGCAGTGAAGTTGTAACTTGTGCTAATCTTCCTGCCCTTTTCTATTACTGTAGGAAAAGTAAAGCCCACACCTCATGGGCTGACTATAGCTTTTTGTAGCCCCACTGCAGAATGTCAGCTAATCCACCAGCAGCCATGAATTCAGATGATCGGACGTAAAGGCCTCAGGCCCAAAGGAAATAGGAGCACGTTTAGCACCAAACTATCGTGAAGGATATAGAGTGCAGCACCGGTGGGAAGCCTGGGTCCTCCTGACTTGGCTAATGGTTAATTTTGTGGCCTTGGGCCAGCCCCTTTCCAGGGTACAGTGTTGAATAGAAGTGTGATGGTGGAGGGATCCTGATTTAAAGGGAGTGCTTTCAACATCTCATCATTGAGGACGTCTGCTGTAGGCATTTGCTGTGTACCTTTTATTGCGTTACACAAGTATTTTGCTAAGAATCATTTCGTTTTGTTGGCTTGTTTTTAAAAAAAGGATGGAGATCAAATTTTTCTACATCTACTGTAGATCTTATACATTTGTAACATCTATATGTCTGTGAGACCTCTACTGTAGATCTTGTACATCTACTGTGATCTTATAGTTTTTATGTAATCATAATGGTTTTTCTCCTATAATTTGTTAATGAGGTAAATTATAATAACAGATTTTCTAAGGTAGTCTAGTGTTAAATCATCTTTGCATTCCTAGGGTAAATTCTAGTTCTTCAGTTCTCAATTGCTTTGCTTGACATTTTTGCATGGAACTTTCCAATATAACCGCCTTTAGCAGATGTCAAAGTGACTGTCCTATTAATCACCAGGCAGACTGCTTGGTGATGAAGAACTTCTACACTTGAGCTCTGCATTCATCCACTCTGATTTTTAGCGGAAGATGAATATTATGAGAAAAGAATAAAATAACCTATTTAGTACAAAGAGGAAAGGCAATGTCAAACTACACTATGATCTAATAGATTTAGTAAATCTGTATAAGTTTTCCATTTAGGTAAGTTACTCAAGAGACTCAGATGCTGTTTGAAGAGCCTCTGAAAAGCCTTAAAATGTACTTTTTTTTGGTACATGGTAGGTCTGTTCCTCATACAATAAGTGGAAAATTCGTAGGACATTTACAATAATTGTGTGAATGTTTTGTAGGCTTTTTCTTCCTGTCATTTCTTTATCTTCAGCTATTTGCTGATATCTCCATTCTTTTCAGCTTCTCCAGGATCCACCATATACATTTTGCTGGCAGCTTAGTGTGTGATTATGTGACGTACTGCTGGACCGCTTTGAGGAAGGGTCTAACTTCCAGAGTCCTGGGGTCTCCTCCTCCTGTAAGCGGCCCATGTGCCTGCCCTGGCCATCAAGCAGTGCAGCTCATGGGACCGTTGTTTTTCCAGACTATAAAGCAAGCCAGGTTTACATTCTTTTGACTTGCAAGTTTTCAGTCGTTTGGGATCTTGATTTCAAGTTAGAGAATTTTTATAAGGCTTGAAACGTAGAAGTTTTAAAGGAAAATACTGGTTTTTTTCTGCCTGAGGTGGAAAGCTTATAGGAAAGCTGAGCCTATAGCTAAGCTTATAGGTATCCTTAGAAATTTAGTTCTTTCTGCAGAAACTTGAGCATCTCTTTCAGAGGAGTAAGGAGATTATAAAGATACACTTGCTGTGAGTGGTTGGGGAAAACCAGAGGTGAAATCATCATTGTGTGACCAGCATTGGTCACCACGCCAAACTAATTAGGGTTGCCACTGGCCACAAATGGCAAAACCGGGGTTTGAGAGAAAGATGCAGCAGGTAGATGATCCTCAAGCTACGACTGCAGAATAGGACTCCTTGAAGGACTGATGAAATCTTGGAACCTGGTGGTCCATGAGGATGCCCAGGTGATGTTTTGGACCATAAGAAACAGAAACCCCTGGTGTCAGTGGCCCAAGCCAACAGACGTCCACTTTGCTCCCGTGATTAGAAGTCAGGAGGCAGGGCTGGCCCCGTGGCTTAGTGGTTAAGTGAGCGCGCTCCACTGCTGGCGACCCGGGTTCGGATCCCGGGCACGCACCGACGCGCTGCTTCTCCGGCCATGCTGAGGCCGCGTCCCACACACAGCAACTAGAAGGACGTGCAGCTCTGACACACAACTATCTACTGGGGCTTTGGGGGGAAAAAAAAAAAAAAAAAAATCTTTAAAAAAAAAAAAAAAAAAAAAA